TAGCAAAATTTAGAGATTTCTGTATCCATTTCTAACTATAGAATAAACAAGATTTGTTTTATTAGATTTCAAATCAGAAAGTGTTCCCTGTTCAGTGAAACCTGAGAATTTCTCCTTTTGTTTTAATGTAAATTCTTTCAACATGGCAGTAGTTTTCTTTCCTCTAAACAAATTCTAATACTGCTCCTTTGAATTTTAAGCTTGTTATTATTTTAAAGGTATGACTAGAAAAAATAAAGTCCTAGATGATCTTTAGTCTCTTAGGAACTTGATCCTGTTTCTTTTTCTCAGCTTTAAAATTATGAGTTCACTCTTATACGTTGTTGGTGGGAATGTAAATTAGTACAGCCACTATGGAGAACAGTATGGAGATTTCTCATACAACTATAGATAGATCTACCATATTACCCAGCAATTTCACTTACTGGGTCTATATCCAAAGGAATGGAAATCAACAAGTTGAAGGGACAACTGCACTCCCATGTTTATTGCAGCTCTATTTACAATAGCCAAAATATGGAACCAACCTAAATGTCCATTGATGGATGACTGGATAAAGAAAATGTGGTATATATGCACAATGGAATACTACTCATCCATAAAAAAGAATGAAAGTCTGCCATTTGTGGCAACATGGATGAGCTTGGAAAAAATTATGTTAAGTAAAGTAAGCCAGGCACAGAGAGGGAGATACCACATGTCCTCATTCATATGTGGAAGCTAAAAACTTGATCTCATAGAAGTAGAGTAGAATGGTGGCTACTAGGGACTGAGGGGGAAGGGGGAGGGGCTGGAAAGAGGAAGATCAGTGGATACAGAATATTAGAAAGAGAGGAAGAATGGGATTTAGGGTTCTATAGTAATATAGGGAGACTACAGTTAACAACAAAGTTCTGTGTATCTTTGAATAGCTAGTCGAGATGATGCTGAATATTCCTAACACAAAGAAGTGACCAAAGTTTGAGGTGATGGATATACTAAGTACCCTGATATGATACTTGTACACCGTATGAATGTACCCAAATATCATATTGTATACCATAAATATATACAATTATAATGGGTCAATTAAGAAAAATAAATTTAAAAGAGAGAAAAAAAAAGAAAAATAGAGCATAGAGTAATGGTTACCATAGGCAGGGAAAGGAGGGGAGGGGAGCTGGGGAAAGGTTGGTAGACTGGTGCAAAGTTACAAAGTTACAGTTAGATACAAGAATAATTTCTGGCACTCTGGGGTGACAATAGCTAATAATATTGTATCGTATATTTCAAGACAGTCAGAAAAGAGGATCCTGAATGTTATAACCACACAGAAATGGTAAATGTGTAGGTGACAGATATGCTTACTATTCTGATGAGATCATTATACAATATATGCATGTACTGAAACAACAAACTTTCCCATAAACATCTACAATGAAAAAAATTAAAATTAAAAAAAAATATTGCCTTAAGCTTAGCTATTTAGAGTGTTATTGAGCCAAAAGGAATAACATAATAAAGATATTTCATAAAATGACTCAGTGGGATTAAGAAACCTTAATTAATCCATGGTCCACAAAACTATGCCACTGGATGTCACTGCTTGGAATCCTTAAAAAGGAATCAATTTTAATTCTGCAAAACATAACAATCCAAAACCAAGCATGAGATAGGAAATATTTGAAATAAGAAAAATGAATGGCTAAAGTTTTAAAAGCTTCTTCTCAAGAGTTGGTCCTTTTTTTTCTACATTTCTTTTTTATGCATATCATAAGCAATTTAAGTATTAAAATTTTTATTTAATGGTTAGATTTCTCTTTATGGCAGTCACTTGAATACTTCATTGATTATATTATTGAAATGTAGCCTGTTAGCTGTGAAACAAGAACTTAATTATTATGGGATATAATAGATGAGGACACATTCTAATGATGGCTTATGTCATTCATGATTAAGCTTTCATTTAAGGATGGCTCAGTTTAGATATTCAGAACCATAAGCATCCAAACATTGCCCAGGGCTCAACCTCACAGTCATTTTAGGAGAGTTCTGGGGTTCATGTATTGTACCTGTCTTCAAAATTCAGAAGACACTGTGTCTTTTTATTTTTATTTTTATTTTTTTTAAAAAGATGACCGATAAGGGGATCTTAACCCTTGACTTGGTGTTGTCAGCACCACGCTCAGCCAGTGAGCGAACCGGCCATCCCTATATGGGATCCGAACCCGGGGCCTTGGTGTTATCAGCACCGCACTCTCCCAAGTGAGCCACAGGCCGGCCCGACACTGTGTCTTTTTAATGGGCATGGTTCATTTTCAGTCCAACAGCTCCTCTTCAAATTGAGCTGCACTGACAGGGCCGATGCTGATAATGCAGATACTTCTTTAGGTTTATAATGTAAATGAATCTATAGGAAATTTAAGTATGTTTTTCCTCACTAAAGTCTATGAATCTTGGGCTGGCCAGTTAGTTCAGTTGGTCACAGCACGGTGTCATAACACCAAGGTCACGGATTCGGATCCCCACACCAGCCAGCTGCCAAAAAAATTAAAAAAAAAAAAAGAAATCTATGACTGTCTTCCGCAATTGTGGCAATTTCTACCAAACAGTGCCACAATTATTCCAAATGAATGTTTCCAGTGAGGTCAGAGAAGGTCAGCACTGGGGAATAAGTGGTGGCCTGGCTCAATTTGAAAGTCCAGTTTATGTCTGAATATCTGCTCTTCTGTGCACAAACCAGCTATGTTCTTACATCTCCCTTGCAGTCTCAAGCTTGGTGTGCTCAGATACCTTGTTACATCAGTGAGAAAAATACAACTTTGAAAACCAATTTGGGCTTCTCTGAGCCTTTAAATTACAAAAAGTTCTTGATCTAAAGAAGGTCAGTATATCTGCTTGGCAATGACTTAAACACTGACTACACTGAAATAAATAAAATATCCACACACTGCTGTAGCTTCTTCCAAATACCCACTAAGTAGTAAAGAGTACGACTCCTGTGGGAAATTCCCAATTGTGAAAAGTTTTTGTATCATATGAAACAATCGTAGTGAACAATAGATATTTAAATAGCCAAAGAATAGAGGTCAGATTCTAATTCAAATAACACATGACAATAATAATAATGACAATGATGAAGAAGAAGAAGATCATGATAATGGAATGCTATGAGCTATCCACAAAATAAAATGAATTTTGAGGGCTTTTTGTTACCCAAGGAAAGTAACAGTTATTTGAAATAAACGTGATCTGAAATGTCCTCAAATTACGTAAGATAAATTACACTAAAGAGAAGACTTAATTCCTTATCTTCCTGAGCATATTTCTAAACTGTTTCCCAGCTCTCTTGCATTTATGTAGGCATATGACTAATATTTGCCAAGAATGTGAGCAAAAGTAACATACTCATTTCCAACTTCGGCCCTGCAAGATTCTCCATGTTTTCTTCTCCCATCTGCTGGCTGGGTGCAACGGATGTAGTGGAAAATTTCAAGGCCCTGGCAGATAGCAGAGACACGCAGTGGAAGAGGCCTGGGCCCCTGAATAACTTTGTGGAAGAGACCTCCCTTACCTACCTGCATTGGTCTATGGGCGAGCAAGAAATAAACTTTTATTTTATTAAGCACTCAAATTTTAGGATTGCATATTATAGTGGTTAGCTCTGATTAATACACACACTATATAAAACAGTGAAACTAACTATGAAAATATGATAATTATCTTATTTGATCACATTTATGGAAAGAAGCAACTGTTACATACCTACGACTGCCCTTAGTGTCAAACATAATGCAACATTGTTGGCTTAGCTTTTCCTAAACTGGTCATCATCAAAACGGGGCTCCACAAGATTGTGACTAAAAGTTCTGTGCCCAAATTAGTTTGAGAAATGCTGCTAAACAAGGTTAAACAGGTTTCTTTGCTTTAGGTCATCTCAGAGCTGTCAATATACTAATGTCCATTGTGAATCTATACAAAGGGACTAAAGAATGCAGCATTTCCCAAACTTATTTAGTCAAGAAATAATTTAACCAATAAACTTAAGATCTACTTCCCCTTTTCACCATGGCAACACTCATCACTACCTCCCAGAACAATGTTTTATAGAACACATTCCGGGAAATTCTGCTTTGGTTTAATTTACACCATATGGTAGATTACCCACACCAAACAGTTCCAGGCATCCCAAAGCAAATATTGTTCTCTTATAAAGGGAAGGTTTTTCTTTTAAAAAGACTAATGTACTAATACCATCAGAACCACCCAAGAAAGTTTTACTGCTAATGTGAACAAAGTTCTCAAAGGTATTTTACTTAAAATGTGTCTGAAATGAAGGCAGATGTGAATGGTTGGTTTCTGTTCTTTCTTTGTATCTCAAAGAAATGGAGCCTGTCATATTTACTGATGGAATATGAAGGTACTTCAAAAAGTTCATGGAAAGGTTCGTGTCATTTTTTAAATCCATTTTCCATGAACTTTTTGAAGTACGCTTATATACTCTTACGTTTTTAAGGAGAAGATGCTGAATCTATGAAACCCAGCAATGTTAAATGTGAAATGTGTGTGTGAATACAGTCCATTGCACAATATCTCCTTTGCTTTTTCCTCTCATATTCATGCATGAGACGTAATGTTCTAAAACAATGTTTAAAGCAATAAAAAGCAATCACAGCTAAGATCAATAGATTCTTCTAAAAGAAATAAACATACTTCAGTAATTGGGGTTGTACTCCACTCTTTTAAAAAATCACACACCACTTGCATACATTATTTATATATAATGTATAAATATAAATATATATAAATTCTTTTCCACTGTAGCGCTAGGCTATATTGCACTTGTGCAATACATACACTTTATTTCAATCATGAATCTATTATGGATATTTCCCACATCTCTAATAGACTTAATTCAACTATAAAAGGATGTTATGATGAACAACTGGGAATTCATGTAAAGTAAAATGATATGCTAAATATTCACCAAAAAAAAGAGAAGAAGAATAAGACAGACTTACATCTAGTAGTGTATGAAGATGCTGATCTTGGAAAACACTGTGGAGAAAATCTAGATCCTTTTCACTGCAGTCTGTAAGTGCGTGAATCTCTTCCAGGCTGTCTAGCACCTGTGAGACTGCTCCTAAAAGGGACAAACAGGAAAAAAAAAAAAAAAAAAGTACAGAAAGTCAATGTTAAGCTAACCTTTGTAACCTAAACCTTAAACTTAAGAACAATGAACTAACATCATAACCGCAAAGGCTGGTGTCTTTACTGAAGGATAGACTGAAATGAGTTTCGTATCATCCAAGGACCGAGTATTTTCAGTGAGTTTATGTTCTTAGCAATGTGTTTGTGTGCTCTGAAATGTAAACTGAAGCTTGTCTTATTTGGAATTAAGGACATTCATCAACATAATTGAGCTACTAGAAGATTTGGGTGCAGCAATTTACACATCAGGAAGAGAGTATGGGTTTTATGACCCCAAGATGTTTTGAAATATTATAGAATACAGGTTAGCCTTTTACACAGGTGCATTCCATCAAGAACTGAAGGTAAAGCCAGCTGTAGATCTGGGGCACAAACCTTCAACTGGGAGCTCCTGCTGCTTTATATAGATTTCTGAGGATTTTTAAGGTTTGAACTTTAGTTAACAAATAGCCCAGTCCATTCCTCTTTTTCTTTACATACAAAGTCATTCTCATTCTGTTGGACCCTTCTAATCAGAAAACAAAGACAAAGGGTAGGTATACTGATTGACCCTTCCAAATATCACATTAAATTTCAAGGCAAAACATTTTTGTAGAGCAAAGCAACTGGAAGTGCTGTCACTTTCTATAAATTTCCTCTTACAACCAGGAACCCAGGCAGGTATCAGCAGGGAAAGATACATACCGAGGAGCAACAAAGTCATTTACACAGCCTTAAAGAAACCAGGGAAAGATACATACCGAGGAGTAACAAAGTCATTTACACAGCCTTAAAGAAATGATCAGCTTATTTCAGTCTGTAGACAATATACACACATATACTCCATAGAAAAAGAACCCCAAGAGGCTAGGCTTCAGAACGTTAATATACACTAGAGACACTCTAAGAATAAGTGCCTGATTGCACAGTTAAGTCTTTGGATCAGAGGTTCTCAACCAGGGGCAATTTTGCTCCCCAGGGGGAACATTTCTTAATGTCTGGAGATATTTTTGTTTGTCACAACTGCAGGGGGAGGGCAGCTATTGGCATCTAGTGGGTAGAGACCAAGGCTGCTGCTAAATATCCTACAATGCCCAGGACAGCCCCCACAACAAAGAAGTGTCTGGCCCAAAATGTCAGTAGTGCTGAGGCTGAGAAACCCTGTTTTAGATAAAAATCTTTCTGTTCTCAAACTCTATGCTGCTTCTAATTCTTCTTGTCTTAGACCTCATCCACTCTCATGCACTTATTGGTGGAATATAAACCAGTACTACTTTTCCAGAAAGCAATCTGGTAACATATATCGAAGAGCCTTAAAAATGCTCATGCACTTAGACTTAGTAATTCCATTTACAAAAACGTATCTTAAGGAAAAAATAGGTGAAGATTTGGGAATAAGGATATTTATCATACAAAATGTAAAATAAATCTAATAAGTAGAAGATTACATAAATTATAGTACATCCATATAATGGAATATGTAGCCAAATGAAAATTGTTTTTGGAGAATTTTAAAGACAGAGAAATCCCCATGATATTAAATTCAAAAAAGCAAAATGCAAAACCGTATAAACTGTGTATTCTCAATTATGATTGAGAAAACAAACAAAACATATACACGGACTCAGGGAAAAACAGAATCAAATACTTGTACACCAAAAGGGTAACAGTAGTTATCTTCATTTTCCTATTTATACTTTATTCTGTTCTTGTCCATATGTTCCAAGTTTTCTACAATAGCAAAAACAAACAAACAAAAAACCTTTGCTATATAAGCTACGGATTTTTGCAGCACTGTTTAATTATGTTAAAGATTTGGGGCTTAAGCCACAAACCATGTGGTGATCCATGTGGAAATTATTGTGGCTATTTTTTTTAATTTGGCTTTTTATTTTGAGGTAATTTTTGATTCACACGCAGCTGTAAAAGAACAACAACAACAACAACAACAACAACAAAAAAACCAACGAAAAATACTCTTTACCTAGTTTCCTCCAATAATAACATTTTGCTTAAATGTAGTATAGTATCACAGTCAGGATACTGACATTGATACAGTCAAGCTATAGAACATTCTATTACCACAAGGATCCTTCATGTCGCCCTTTTATAGCCACACTCATATACCTCCCAGACTACCCTCTCCTAACCCCTGGCAACCATTAATCTGTTTTCTATTTGTATAATTTTGTCATTGTAAGGATGCTATGTAAATGAAATCATATAGTATGTAACCTTTTGGAATTTTTTTATTTTTTATTTTTTATCCAGTGTAATTCTCTGGAGATTCATCCCGGTAGTTGCATATGTTAATAATTTGTTTCTTTTTACTGCTGGGTAGCATTTCCGCCACATGGATGTACTGCAGTTTGGTCATTCATCTGTTAAAGGAACTACAGATAATTTTAAATTTTGAATAATTATGCCTGCCAGGCTATTGGTATTCTTTCACTGAAAACATTAAGCGGGATAATAAAGATACAAGGAAGGAATCAGTCCTCATTTCCCTTTGCTATTCCTGAAGAGGTATTAACCTAATTCATTTCCTTCTACCTGCTCTTCTCAGGACTTTCACTTTGTTCAGAGTGGCAAAAAAAAAATCTGGAAATTAGTTCAGAGCCAACTCTCTCTTCATCCTTTATTGAAAGCCCTGGAAAGCAAGAGATGATGTGAAGAAATTAGTCCCAAATGTCCCACTGAACCCCTGAGCCCAGCATGTCATCAACAGCTGAATGAAATGATATCAGGTCTGTCAAGTCACTAAAGGCAGTTCTAAACTTCTGGACTTATAGAAACTGCAATAACAAAAATACTAATGAACTGCTGTTTCATATATTAAAAAAAAGTCAACAAGTACCATGGAAACCTAATTATCATTTTCACTCAGTTATCTTAGTGAAATCTTATCTAGTTTTTATTGTTTCTATCCAGCATTGCCTATGCTGATATATAATCTATGTAGCAGTTTATTAATAATATAAGATTAAAATAAAACCAACCTTGTACCAAGCCAATACTAAGATGGCCAATGTAAGGACTGGGAAGCAATTTTGGCTGTACCAGACCAGGGCTGTATCATTTGATGGTCTGTGGACTCCCCCAGTGCTCCGTGCGATTCCTGTACCACCAGCACACTCCACAGGGTACTTACGTGTGCACTTTACTCTTTTTTTCCCTGAGCTGTAAGGTCCTTAAGGCAGATCTATATTTCATCAATTTTATAACATCCACAAAGTATGTACTGAATTAATTAAGCATGTAGGGAAACATAATATTCACAGCAGCTCCCAATTCTCGAGTGTTTATTATGTGCCAATCACATCTTCAGGGCAACACAACAAGGCAGATATATTATTCCACCTTTCTAGATAGGGAACTGAGGTTCAGAGGGGTCACAGAAGGCACAAGCTAGTAAGTGGTAGAGTCAGGACTCCACCTAACTTGCTACACTAACTGGTTGTGCTAGGAAACATATGGGGGACCTTTCTAGGAGAAGCTAAGTGTGGTTTATGCATGAATATGGAGGTTGAAAAAGAACCTGAGCAATGCCCTATTGGGTAAGATAATGACCAAAACCTTTACTGAATGTTCCTGCTTTTTGCCAGGTATTCGGCAAGGGCTTCAGAGGCAAGAGAGATGTGATCCCTGGCCTCATGAAAGGGGCTCTAAGGCTGCTGTGTGAAGAGGTATGCTATACTCTGAAGAAAATGATCTAGAAGAGGTAAAAACAAAGTGGCACACAAATAGGCTGCCTAGAGAGGAGCTGGTGCAGCTTGAGAGAGGTGATGGATGAGCAGGAACTCACCACCTCCACACAGGGTCGAATCTGCGCTGACAGACCCAGTCGCTGTTTTGCTGGGAAGCACAAAGACATCTGTTAGCCTGCTTTTCCAGTAGGCAACACCCACACTCTCAACAGGTCTATGAAACCTCCTTGGATCTGTCGCCTTTTCTGAAATGATTTATACTCTTATCTTGTACCCAAATGTGATTGACTTGGTGGGTTCTCAATCACAAAAAGAAGCATTTCCCTAGGTGTACTCAAGTTGCCTATTTCAAGCTCTGAAAAGTGCCCCTAATTTTAAGTTTTTGTAATTTGGTAGGAAAATTATAGTTTTCATTCCACTTCTCCTTCATATTTTCAAATTGAAAAAACATATTTTTGGGCTAACCTCAAAATCTTTCTTCACCCTTGATCATTTTAACAACTTTCTTTAACACCTGTTCTAGTTCTGTTATTTCTTTATTTGGGTACAACCCCAGAACCACAGAACACATTCTTGGTCTGATAGATGTGTATAATTGATATCTGTGGTTCAGTACCAAGCCCAACTAAAGTCCCACCATTTTTCGATTCATTAGAAAATGTAAATAGATACAAAGACATTTGTGAGGGTTTTCCATTGCTATTTGTTTTAGATTTTAAACACTGAGGCAGTAGTGATAATATAATACAATACAATACAATATACATACATGTGCTATTAGGCTGTTACAGTATTCATTTGGTAGATCGATACTGTCATATATGGAATAAATATTCAATTTTTTCAAAAACTGGAAAGGATGTTTTTCCTATAAAACCTTTGAATAAACTCGTAACTACCTTGAAAAAAATCAATCAATGAACAGTATGAGTTCACCTCAGAGGGCAGTTTCTTTAATGGCACCCATTCACCTTTGTATTCTGGGCTGCACTTTGCAGAGTGCTTTGTACAAAAAGATACTTCATAAAAAGACACTTGATTCAAATCAATTTTTTCTGAGCAATTTTTGAAGAATTGAAAATAAAGTATTAAAACAAAAGAGTTAACCACAGAAAACAATTTCTTTTATTTTAATATAGCACTATAAAAGTCATAATGAAAATTATTTTAATACTTATATTTGTATAAACAAGTTTATAATTTCCATAAAGCTTTTATATTTACTACCCTATGTGATTACACAATG